TTTGGATTTTTTTGGATCGTTTTTGACAATTCCTGCGAACCACCGTGTATTAGAACATATCCGTCGATAAATTCGTATCGCCGACCAAATTTTACTATTCACAAAATTCATTATTCACGTGACTAGTAACCTCGCCAAAAAAACTGACAAAATTCACCACCAAAAGCTCTGATACTAATTATTGGAAAATTAAATGAGTAATTTCCCTATAATCAAATTAGTGAGAATGCGAAACAAAAGTGGAAAAATAATACCCGAAATTGATAACGGAAGTAAATTATGCATACGTTTCCAGACTACTGCAGATCTTTTATTAAAGAGAGAAAATTTACAGGTGTTTACAAAACACTCACAACTCACAAGAAAACTTTATAAACTCTTTAGTATTGGGAGAAAGAAATGATTTGGGATAATTTTGAAGCTAAATGGGTCAGGGAATTTATAGTTGAAGCTTAAGGACTAATCTTGTAAATATCCTAATGTACATGGACTAAATTTGGTAATTTTTCCTTATAAAAAATTCAACAAAATCTGCTCATTTGACCATTTCCATTCGGTGCCCCCTATTGTTAACTAATGATATTCGGTGCATTAATGCACCGAATGAAGACTTTCAACATTCTAGTCTTGTTAGCATCAAGGAATTCATTCGCTGGCCAAATTTGCAGCAGTTGTGATGGTTTAATTTTTGAGTGAGAAGTTGTGTTAGCGTGTTGCTGGTGTACTTGCGTTTAATTTTGTTAGTGTTACTTCGGTGCGGGTGTGTGTGATTGTCGATCGAGCATGGTAGGTGATCGTTACTTGGCTTGTGCTGGTTTCTGATGGGTCCTTCTGGAGACTGTTTTATCGGGTAATGGGTTGATTGTTGGTGGTACCTTAGACGTTATCGGAAGTTAGGTTGGTGGTTTGCTGCATGTATGGTCACGTGCTAGTTCTTGTTATTGTTGCGTAAAAGTTTTTGATTTGTGGGGATGTTGTCTTTGAATTTTTACATTTTTTAGCATAGTGTCTATCTACTGGTTATGTTGAATGTGATGGAACCGGTGACAGTGTTGTATACTGTTTTGTTTTGGGTGTTATTGGTGAATTCATGCGTTGTTGCATGCGGGTATAATATATTATATTGGCTTGCATGGTTGCTTTGCTATGGTGGTTGGGTTATTTGTAGAGAACTTTGATTTGCTTGGTGTTGGGTGTGATAGAGCGGTCGTGCTGGAAGTACAAATTTAATACATATGGGTGAGCATTTTTGCGTACTGATTCCTTATGGATTTGGTGTCCTCTTGTTGTTGTGGTTGTTATGCTTGGTTCATAGAGTTAACTGCTGCGTTGGATTGCCTCCAAGGCTGCATGGGAAGGTTGTGTTGCAGTGATGTTTGCATGTATAAATGTTGGGTTATTAATTACATTGTGAGGTTTGTTTCGTTGTGTATGAGTATTGGTTGATTATTCGCTTTTCGACATAACATGGTATACTCTTTTTCCTTCACCTAGGATTATGAAGGTTTTTTAACGAGGAAATTTTTTTTGTTTTCAAATTTCCCAAATAAATACAAAACCCCTTAAAAAAAGTGAAATGTGCACTCAACAACGACCTATTTATATGGGCCATGATAATTGTCTCTTTCAAGAAATGTCAAATCAAATATGACCTGTCATAACGTTTCCCCGGGGATCCGTTAGACTTAAAAAATTTAGTTTTCGGGGAAGGTGATGAAATTTAATTTGAAAAACGGTTTGATTTTAGAGTCACCACCAACCTTTAAGTTAGGTGGGTTGGAAACCTTAAACAACAAAAAATGGTATGCATTTTACCAAAAATTCATTTTTAAGAGTTCGGGAGTCGGTTACTTGTGAGGAAGGGTTAGCACCCCCACAACGCCCAAATTTTGGTACCTAAATGATTATATGTTGTTTAAATATTGGGAATTACACACTCGAAAATATATTTAAATTATGATCCTGTTATTTATTCGAATTTATTCAAAAAGTGTTAATTCGGATTGCGAATGCCTTTTTGTTTGAACAATCTTTGGGAAATCACTTCCTTTACAGTTATGAGACTTTCCCATAGATTACCCCTCACAAAAAACTATTATTTTACATTTTTCGCAAATAAAATAAAACAAAATAAAAGTAAAAGTAAAAAAGAGTTGAAAATAATCAAAATAAAAAAATGTGGAACAAAGATAATTATCGAATACAAAACAAACATTTATGCAAAAAATCCTTGAAGAGACACATTCCCTTTAGTTGAGAGATATCTTCATAGATTTCCCTCACATTGAAATTTCTTTTTTATTTTTGTACATTAAAACCATGGTGATTAAAAAAGCAAGGTTAAACTAATAATACAAAAATTGCAAATAAATCAGGGACCAATTAGCATTAATAACAACTTGAAAGACTAAATAATAAATACCCATAAACCATAGCCAATATCACATAAATTAAAACATACAAGTACTGGAAACTAAAATAACCATAAATAATATTAAGGATTAAAATGAAACAAAGTAGAAACACAAATATGCAAATAATAATTAACCCTAAAATGTATTTATTAAATAGTGACTAAAACAAAAGAATCAAATAAAATAGGAACAAATTCAAATATTAACAAATATTGCATAATAAATATACTAGTGACTTAAATGTAAACGATGCAAAATAGAAGCTTAAAATGAAATAACACATAAATTTATTAATAATTAAAATGAGATATTACAAATGAGAAATGATTGAAATTACGATTTACCCCCAAAATTTGAAAACACGCGTGTGATGTTACAAAATAACGAGGACTAATATAACCCTAAACTCTTAAACCAAAATAATCTGAACACCAAGTCCCTTAAACGGTGTTGTTTCACATATGTTATATAAGCCCAACAATAGGTCAAAATTCGACCATAACCCACCATTTTCCTCATTTGTTTCTCTCTCCTCAAAAATAGAGGGCCTAAATACTCTCAATCTTCTCATCCTCTCCGTCTCTTCGCACCCTCACCGTCGAGGAAAAAGAACCCAAAGCCCCAGCCACCGTAAATCGGTGGCCACGGGGTTAATAAGCTCGACGAGCCTTTCAAACCCAACCCTTTATTTGCTCAAAACCTCAAATCTACACTCCTTAAAACCCCTCCCCACAACGAAAAAAACAAAACCCCAACCCAAAGGTAAGATTTTTACCTTCAACGGTGGTGTGGCTTAGATCAGAGTGATGCTCACAGCGGTGAAGGCTCGAAAGGTAAGACCTTTCGATTTTTCTTTTTTACTTTTTGTTTGTTTTCTCTCATTTTTTCCCTTCGTTTCGGTTCTCTCCCTTTTGAAAAATGGTTGCCCCCTCTCTTTTTAGGGTGATATTCGGGGTAAATGATTTGGTCTAAGGGTAGGGAACAAATTTCCCGATTTATCAAGATTTTAGGGGAATTTTAATTTAGGGTTTTTGATTTAGTATTGTGGCTGATATTTTGGTTTGATGTTTTGCTATTTTGGACAATGTGTGGCTTCTATTGATGACGCCAGTGGCTCGGGAGTGATCGTCGACGGCTCACGCAACTGGGACAACAGTCGGTGGGGTTCACGCGTCGGTCTGGTGAATAGTTGTTATTGGCGACGGATGTTGCTGTTGAAGTTTATATATTTAGGGTTTTAAAACCCTAAATGATTTGGGTTGAAAATCAAGTCGGTTCGGGTTAGTTCTTGGGCCAGTATTGGGTCGGATCTGTTGTTGGGTTTCTGGTGGGTTTGTATTGTAATTGTATCTGAGCTGTTAATTAAGGCCTGCAAAGTATGTAATTAAGTATTTAATAAAAATAATAATAATAATAATATATTTTTGTAGACCTAGACAAAAACGAGTGTCTATAATGACCGACAACAAAAATGACATTTAATCAATAATTGCACCATTTTCATCCTTAAGTGGTAGGTGAACCATTCAAACACACACACCAATCTCACGTTTTCTCTAACAGATATTTTCAATTAAGCATATAAGAAGAGTGTAATCTTAAGAAAAAATCATCATATTTGGTGTCATTACAATTGCTTTTTTGTCCTTTTATGATGATATCATTCAATTTTTACATTCTTTTAGTTACTTTAGTCAAAGTATGATAATTTGGGTAGGCTTGAATGAGATTTACTTCACACTGGATTGGTCAATTAGACTTTAATTTGAATGAAATAATAAAAATATTTTTAAAAATGTATATATATATGTTAGTATGAAAATATCTGTCTGAATCTATTTTATTATTAAAATTTTAAATTTATATCGTAAATTAATTGAATATTAATTCATTTAAAAATGAAAGCTGAGATAAATACAATGCATCCACTACCAGATAGACTTGACAAAACTCGAATAAAACGACGAAGCAAGTGTAGTTTGAGGTTTGCTTGTTGCCACGTGGCATCCGGGCTTTCAAATCAATTACAAATTTCGCCAGGGCCTGTCGGTACTTGGCGTCCAGTTCCATTACTAATTTACTATTTCTGATCAATCCGCCGTATCTGTTTGAATCGTACGGACAAAAACCAATATTGTATTCATAGCTTATTTTAAAATAATTTATTTTATGCATTTTCTTTTTTGTCTTATAACAGATATGATATGATATGATTTGGTTGATGATGTTTTGATTCATTCAGTAAAAATTTCAGAATATATATATCATACGTTGAATAATCGATTAAAATTTAATAATTAATATATGTTGTTTTAAATTTATAGAGTTGAGACTGTCTTATAGGTTAGTAAAAACTAATTTATTAAATTTATTTTTTCATACATCTGAAACTCTCTCAATTATGTAAACTTTTTTTTAATAATTTAAGAAATAAATCTGAAGATGAAAGGATTCAATCAAAATATGTGACCATCTACGATTCGTAGATTTCTAAAAAAATGTATTTGAAAATGTTTAGACATATCTGGAATAAATATGGTAAACAATTTAAAATATTTGCATAAATTTACAAGGAAAGTTCAATCTGGAATGAAGGAAAATGCAAGTCTAATAAACGACCTTCTCCTACTATTCGATTTTCCCTCTCCCCAAGCACCATTTTCTTTATCTGCAACACTTCCATTCTATTTTCGAGTTTTTACAAAGAGACTTCAAAAGAAGGTTTAAAGGCTTTCCCCTTCCATGGTGGAAATCGCGAAGTTCATGACAAACGTCAAAACAGAGTTTAAGAATCTGTTTTCAATCATTAAAACGAGAAGAACGGTTGCTTTCTTCTTGTTTGCCTTAGTCGGTTCCACTGTTTTCTTTGCGTTTAGCCCTTCTTCGAACCCTTCTTCTCCTTGGTTTTCAACTTCCGGTGACTCTTATAGATCCCGATTTCCTTCCCTTTTTGATTACTTTTTTCCCAACACTTCATCTTCTTCGTTTAGTAACACGTCACAGCGGTTACCCGAAACCCGTTCTCCCAGTTCGAATAACACCCAGAATTCATTCTCGCATGCAAATCTTACTAGTATAAGAAACCAGGGTCAAAAGGAAGAAATTCCCGAGGGTAATCGGACTACAATCGTGACTGAAAACGGTGCCGGTTTAGCTAATCAGACCGAAAATTCCCCGGATATATCTGATTCTTCCGGCAAGACAAGTTCGGAAAACACGAGTTTTCAGCCTCCTAACACGAATACAAACAACACCCAGACTCCATTCCCGCCTGCAAATCCGCCTAGTTCAAGCAATCAGGGTGAAATGAAACAGGTTTCGAAGGCTAATCGGAGCACAACCGTCACTGAAAACTCCACCGTTGTAGCAAATCAGAGCACGATTCCTCCTGCTAAATCTAGTTCGAGGGCGTCTTCTAATGAAGGGACTGATAATTGGGTCGGGTCATTGATGAATTGCGATTTTTTCGACGGGAAATGGGTGAAGGATAAATCGTATCCGCTTTATAAACCCGGGTCTTGTTCCTTTGTGGATCATCAGTTTAGTTGTTTTGCCAATGGAAGGCGTGATGAAGGTTATCTGAAATGGAAATGGAAGCCTAAAGGGTGCACTTTGCCAAGGTACAAAAAAGTTTTCCATAATTATTCTTTACTAATTGATCGACCAAGTAAGGAATTTACCTTTTCGGCACATTTGAGTGGATTTATCATTAGTTAAAAGTCAATCATATTTAGCAAATTTATATTCATGTTTCCATCTTTGAATTCATCATGTAGGAAAAAATAATTTCATTTATCCATAATCTACACTGTTGACTATTATTTTTAGTTTGATTGTCATTAAATTTTATGGAAAAAAAAACATTTGGTCATATTATAAATAATCTTTAAATCAGCCACCCATGCGGATTTTTTTATTAAAAAATTCGAAATCACAAAGCTAAACCTTTTCTTCAAATGATCAAGGATAGACAGCTGAAGAGGGCGGTGACAATCATCTCTGGAAATTTTAAATTATTTTTTTATTGATAATTTTTCTTTTTCTTATAAATTTGTAAATGCATTCCTAGAATTTTTAAGATTCCTCTCTAATATAAAACCTTATGTGGATTTATATAAATAATTATTTATAAAAGTTAACATGGAAGTTAGAGAGACATGAAACCTTGAATGATTTTTGTTTATCATTTATGAAGCTAAGCTAAGTTTAATTTTTGAAGAATGAATGGTGGGCACATGCTGGAGATTTTTAGGGGGAAACGAGTGGTTTTTGTTGGCGACTCCTTAAACAGAAACATGTGGGAATCTCTCCTTTGCATCCTACGAGGCGCTGCAAAGAATCCAAAGAATATTTTGGAAGCTCATGGAAGACATTATTTTCGAGGGGAGCCGTCCTACTGTGTCATCTTCAGTGTAGGTTTTATTCCTAGTTTATGATACAAATTTGCTAATCTTCGTTCCACGTTATATCTTTGATGAAATTTACGATGATGATGGATAGGATTATAACTGTACTGTTGAGTTCTTTGTGTCGCCGTTCTTGGTCCGAGAATGGCAAATGCCAGATGGACATGGAACCAAGAAGGATACACTCCGGCTCGATCTCGTCGGAAGATCATCCGATAGATATAAATCTGCAGATATACTCGTATTCAACACCGGGCATTGGTGGACTCATGATAAAACTTCTAAAGGGTTGGGTTTTTATTTTATATTTATATATTCCTTTCATCGTGATCGAATGATTTTGATGATTATTTTTTCGTGTCGAATTGTGTGTAGGAAAAATTATTATCAAGAAGGTGATCATGTTTACGACGAATTGAACGTTCTTGAGGCGTTTCGAAAAGCTTTGACGACGTGGGCTAAATGGGTGGATACCAATGTGGATCCTTTGAAGACCATGGTGTTCTTCAGGGGATACTCTGCTGTTCATTTCAGGTAAAGGGAAATAAAACTGACATTGATCTTCATTGCATATTTCTTATTTATGGGGGTGAACCAGTGTTTGAACCTTAATGTCCAGTGGGGGGCAGTGGAATTCAGGAGGAGCGTGTGATACCGAGATGGAGCCGATCAGAAACAAAACGCTTATAAGACCGTATCTATCCAAGATGTTGGTGTTAGAATCGGTGCTGAAAGGGATGAAAACGCATGTCACGTACTTAAACATTACGAGATCGACAGATTTCCGGAAGGACGGTCACCCGTCGATCTACCGGAAACACTTAGGACATCGGATGTCAGACAAGGAAAGAGCCGAAAGTGTAAAGCACCAAGATTGCAGCCATTGGTGCCTTCCTGGTGTTCCGGATTCATGGAACGAGCTTCTCTATTCTGAGCTCCTCGTAAAGGAAATTAAGATGCGGCAACACCAAGGTAAACTAAACCATGTTTAACAACAAATTTACAAATTGAAGTCACATATAATCTGTACAGAGTTTCGATTTATTTGGAAATTGTTGACAGACATAATCATAACATTAGATTCGATGGTTTTTTAATTTTATTGTTATCCCTACTTATAAATCACGGGATTTGTATATCGAAAATATTTTTTAATAGATATTTTATTTGATCCAAAATTTGATTGTTTGATAATGCCAATTAAAGCACGTTAGAACTTCATGCAACAATTTCAGTTACTGTTAATGCATAAGATGGACATTGACGGATCTAGAAATATTTTTCAGGATAGACATATATGTATTAATAACAAACAACTTTCGTATGAAGTGAGCATAAATAAAATTTCAGGTTCAATAACTTTAGTAAAATGAACAATTAACATAAACAAATTCAAATTTCAGAGTGAACATAAATAAAATTTCAGGGTGGGTACCTCTAGTAAAATGAACTAATATAAAGAAATTGAGGTTCTAGAATGGGCATGTGTCGGGTTTAACATAAGCCAGTGATGATGGAAATGAACCCGATAATCATATATATATAAATGCAACTTTCATGAAATTTATATTTAAATCTGTTGATTAGTCTGAGTAAGGTATTAGTTGCTCATAAATTTTCAATCATATGATAATAAACGTTCATACACTTTTATATATATGGTGTTCGAATTCGAAATCTTGATAATAATATCTTAATCAGGGTCATTTTGTTTGTGCTATAATATCTAAATTTAAATACACATAAAACAAATAAAATGTTTATAAATATTATAATCCACACAATCAGTTTCCGTCTTATGTTTCAAAAATGTAATTGAAAACAGAACAAGTGAATAACACAACACAGTAAAGAAAGGATATTTCGGTTCTGATAGGCGATGTCCGATAAAACGTCCAATTTTGAAGAATGGGCCTTAATACGGCAACTTTGTTTAGATCCCTAAAATGAAGCACCGTTGGCCTTAATACGAAATTTTGAATGAGATTCGAGTATGTCTAAATCGACCTTCAAATATCTCAATTGAAAATTAGGAAGGAAAAAAAAACTTAAAATATACTCTTTTTAATGAAGAATTGAATTTATTATATTATATATATATATATATAGTAATATAGTTTTTTTAAAAAACAATTTTGACAAAGTATAATATATAATTTTCAGAAAACGGTTTTCGAAAATATATATTGTATAAATTTGAAAACATTTTTAAAATATATATAATATATAGTTTCAAAAACATTTATATATTATATAGTTTTTAAAAGTCATTTTGAAATATATATATAATGTATAGTTTTTAAAACATTTTGAAAATTATATATAGTATATAGTTTTGAAAACATTTTGAAAATTATATATTATATAGTTTTGAAAACATTTTTGAAAACATTTATATATTATATAGTTTTTTAAAAGACATTTTGAAATTATATATAATATATAGTTTTTAAAAAACATTTTTGAAATTATATATATTAAATAATTTTTTAAAACATTTCTGAAAATACATATAATATATAGTTTTAAAAAAAATATTTTGAAAATTTATATATTATATGTTTTTGAAAACTTTTTATATATTATTATTGTTTATTATTATTATTATTATTATTATTTCCTATTTCCTATTTATTTATTTATTTATTTTCTTTTCTGTCCAAGGTCCAAAAAAATCAAGTCCAATGTATGGGTCCAACGGTTAGGCCTGAACCAGCCCAAACAGTTAGGGTTTTCACGTTGGGAAGAGCGCTGCTCAACAGGGGACCGTTACATCATGAGAGATCAACGACCAATATCGTAAGGGAGTTAGGGTTTATTTAACCCCAAACAAAATATCAAGCCGCGACCAGATCTAGATCGTTGGATCCGACCCAATCCAAAGGTCAAGATCAAGTCAAGGAGAGTTCCAGAAGACTGAACGCCAACAACCACATACCGATCAACACTGGGATTTCCGACCGAGGAAATTGAGACTGACCCATCCCGAAATCCCCTGCCAACGGCGAGCTTACCATGATAATTAGAGATAGTGAACGTTGGTGGTGGGTATAAATACCCCACCACCCACAACACCGAGGGGGGATAACATCAACGATCACAATGAAACAGATGAGAGAACCCACAAGCACCGTACCACATAAAGCAAACGCAAAACCCACAGAGATCTATACCGAGAGCGACAAAAAATACAGAACAACGATCGAACCAAACACAAAAGAAAAAACACAACAGAGTCGAATAGCCAATCAACACATAAGCAGGGAAATACACGTAAAAATCACAAGCCGAAGCAACAGATAAAGAGCCTCTAGAAGTCGAAAGGCTCGTCAAAGAGAGGTAAAAATCGAGGGGGTCTTCGTTAGATCTACGCCGAGAGGTTGGATTTTTGTGTTTTGGGGTTTGGATCTGGGATCTTGAGGGTGAGGCGAGTGTTTCGGGTGTTTCTGGGTTTGAACGGCCACCGACGGCGGCGGCCGGCGCGGTGGGTGGCCACCAGAGTGGTGGCCGGATCTTGGCACAGCTAGAGAGAGACGAGAGAACTGAGTCATCTCTCATTTTTAGAGAGAGAGAGGTGAAAATAGGAAATGGGAGAAATGAAGGGGAAAAGAGAGTTTTCGGGTATTTATATACTAGGGGCCTCCTGTGCAATTAGAGGATTTTTGAATTCTCTCTGCGATCCTTGGTAGTTTAAACCGCATTACAATCTGGTCATCATTTGTAATTTCGCCTTTGGATTCTCAATTCATTCAATTTAGCCACTGTTTACATTTTTTACATTTTGCGAAGCAACCCCCTAATTTTGTTTAGTTTCTATTGCAGTTCACTTTTAAAATTCATTTCAGTCCAAAAATTTCAAGCTCATTCAATTTGATCCTTTTTTTGGTTTTTTATTATTTTTATTTTAATTCGTATTATTTTATTTTCATTCAATTTGATCCTTTTTTATTTATTTTATAATTGTTCTTATATTTTTTCCTAACTCATTTTTTTGTTATCTTTAATTTTTATTTATTTATTTATTTTTCTCTTTCTTTGACTTTTTATTTTTATTTATATATATATATATTGATTTTTTCATGTTTCCATTTTTTTTATTTAACATTTATTTATTATTTTTTTACTAACATTTTTTGACTTTTTTTAGAATAATCACAAATAATCAAAGGCAAACAATTCAAATTGGATATTTTAATTTTAATTTTAATTTTAATTTTCTAATTTTTGCTATAAAGACAACCGATAAATTAATTGGTACCGAAAGGCGATTTAAGGGTGCTAATACTTCCTTGACCGTAACCGACTCCCGAGCCCGACATGTCTCTAGTACAACGCAGATCAGGTAAGATGGTGTCCGACACACCTAAATTCGTTTTAAAGTGGTCGGTGATGACTCCAACCTGTTTAATCCAAGTCGAAGCCCAATTCCGGGGCCCAACCGAAAGACAATCCCGACAGCTTGGCGACTCCGCTGGGGACAGGTATGTGAGTCATGCCAGAATTAATTTTCGGTTGTCTTTTTATGCGATGGTAAATTTCAATTTATTTTTTTGATTTCAATTATTTACCTTTGATTATTTTTCAAATAAATAGTTGTACTGATGTTTTCTTTCAATGATTTCAGATTTGAAAAACTTTCATCTTTGGCTCTATAACTGAGCTCCAAACCCTTTTAAGTGGGGGTGAAAGCAACGCCTTCGTGGGAATTTATTCTCCGTATGGTCCTAGAAAGTAACATTCGGGATTCATATACCTTATGTCTTCGTATGAATTTATTCTCCGTATGGGCATAAGGGAATGTATCCTCTCGAGTTTAACTTAGTCCACATAAGCTTGTAATGTGCTTAGGACTAAGGGTCTGGCAAGCCCAAGGGGCACCAGCAAGGAGAATTCGAGTACCCTTTTAGAACCTAAACCGGGAGACTACAGGGAATTAGAGCCCACCCAAACCTCATTTTAAACCCTAGGATGCCTGAATTATTTCCTGCTTTATTTTTCTGTTCAAAGCATGCGAACTAGACAAATATGCGAACTAGACAAATATGCAGTTAGGATTTGTTTGAAATTAGTATGCGGGATAGAGATCATGTCCAGGTAGGAATTAAAGCATGTGGGGTAGGATTTTTCATTTTTATTGTTTTGATTTACCTCACTAACTCTTTTTATTTTTTTTGCTCTATTTCATTTTGTTCTCATCATTCACATCATTTAAAAAGAGGTGTTGATCCACTAAAAACGTGTTTGTTAAACATGAATAATCTGTATTAATGGACAAAGGGATTGTAATACAAGAGATGAAAATACAAAGGACAATCTACAAGGTGACTATGTGTCACATTCAATCCAGAAGACGTGGTGCCCACAATTGAAGAGTATATCACTCTGCTGCATTATAAAGGACTCAAAATGAACCGGGTCTACATCAAGCACAATGAAAGTCTATCTTTGAAGAACTGATTGGTAGAGGTTGCAGGGGCAAGATGAAGGTTACTGATCTTAGGAGTCCCTTCAAAGATGACAATGACAAAACGGTAGCTGAAATTGGAGACCATTGCTGACGAATTCAAGAAACAAACAAATGAACTTCACATAGTTTCTATCAATTGAGGGCTCCAATGACGTATTCGTTGGGAACAGATTCAACAAAAGATAAATGCCATAGATGCAGTTATTCGAGACTTCTTGGGCCAGTACAAAAAGCAACTCAACATTTGCACGGTTCGTCCAGAGAAGCCAGAGCGGTTCGACAGGTTATTCAACCGGTGACAGACGAAAGCAGAAGACTAGTCAACATGTCAGAAGCTGTCAGGATATTTTTGTCTCTTAAAAGATAAAACACTTTTGTCCCCAATAAGGATTATTTATAATAACAGACATATTTTTGGATCAATGACTCGAATATTTCATGCATCATGTATTCTTGCATATTTCACATAATTTTCTTTTTTTCATTGCATTCACATGAACTAACAAGAGATTTTCATAACAGAAGGGTACAAACACTGGACATACGTCCACAAGCTTCGGACACGTGTCATCCTCATTCAAACCGAAAAGAAGATGGAAGCCAAAATTACTCAGATCGAAGAGAACATGTTAAA